CATTATTATTTTGTTAATCGAATAAACCCTTTCCAGGGCAGAAAACAAGAAAGATGGATGTAAACGAATTAAGTTTTGTCTTCGGCAGACGATTCTTCCATTTTTCGTCCGAAATTAATATTCTGCGTTCAGCAGTATAGGCTAAATACCAAATATTTGTATATTGCATTTCTAATTTAGAAGCAGAAATTGTTGTTTATATTTTAAAATTTAATTTTTTTAATTATAATTTTGCAGTGTTGAGCATAATCTTGTATGTCTTTACAATTTAAAAACTCCTTGAAAAAAAATTTTTTTTTTTGCAATAACGGACCCTATTTGCACAAATTCATAAAATGTTAAAAGAATGTGAGTAATTTTTTTCACAATTTCACGAAAAACGGACCTTTCACAAAATGTCTGCACAGACCCCTGATAATTCTGGTTAATAAAACCAAAATATATGGTATTTAAACCATTCAAATGGTAATTTATCAGTTCACATAGTAGTGATTTGCCGGAAATTCTGGTTTTCAAAATTATTGTTCTTTTTACCACACATTTAATAAAAAATATTAAACTGAAAAGTAAATTTAACGGAATAAATGATTTTTTATGCAATGCTCTAAGGTATAATGGTAAAATTATCAAATTTTCACACATTTAATAAATTTTATTGTTAATTTTGCTAAAGACCATTAACAAAACACTTTGGTAAAAAAATTACCGAACTTTTTGGTGTTCTTATAGAGTCAGAAATACGTTAATTTTTACCATTCCCTGGTAGTTTTTACCATACCTTTTTTTTCAGTAGTTACTTTACTATTTTTAAACCTTGCAGTTTTATTAGGCTACTATATTTTCATACGACGTTTGCCACATTAAGAAGCAGGACGAATTTAATTTAGTAGTTAGTGGTTAAAAATATCAAATAATGATATATTTGGGAGAAAAAAAAAGAAAAAAAAATTGCGACCCTTGCACACGATACATTGAGGGTCATATCACTTTAATTTGTTAAATGTAAAGGGACAGAGTTCTTGCTGCAAGGCGAAGCTTTTGTTGCTTGACAACTGCATATTTAAGTAAATATATACGCCGGGCATATTGAGCATATAAGTATATTAAGTATATACAGCATATTAAGTATATATATTAAGTAAATATAATACATTAAGTATATACGCCGGGTCTTAAGACATAATTGCTGGATCGGACCCAGAACCAAAAGAGTTTCAACTAGCAATGTGAACTGTGTTTTAATCCTAACTGATCAAAGCAGTTGGTCGCTTATTATGTATACACACGTTGATGTTCTGTTAGTTCATCATATGTTGAATATTAATTTTTAAAACTTAATGGCTATGATTATATTTGCTGGGAAATCAACAGTTTTCTTTAAAACACCCATCGCATAATACCTCTGTTCAATCGCTTAATTATGTCTCAATGAATTCATAACATACACCCATTTAGGAAGAAAAAAAGAATATAAAATAATTCTTTTTGTATGGTTCAATGCAGCTACAACTATGTAGAACATCTCTAACAACAAAGGAAAAACACTAAAAAAATGGTGCCATCTGACACAGGTCAAATCTCCTTTTCCGTAGATCTTTTGTCTAGGTCCAGCGTGACTTGACCACTTGACCTTGTCGATTAACGCACCTTCCAAAGAATGTTTTCTTTTATGCATGCTGGGTACCTGTATATGGGTGATTGTCCAATCACACATCCGCTTTTATGGTTAGTTTTATTTCTGTTTCATCTCTACCTTTGATCGTGGCATGACCTTTAGGATTGTGTGTTGGTGGATCTTTGCGCAATTAGCTCCGATTCACGAAAAAGGCTAATTGCTTAAATGATTAACATCAGAAATCTCCTACATAGTTTGTTTTAGAAGCGGCTGATTGTGGTTGGAGGAATCTATAATGAACCTTTGAGCGTTTTATTTTAACTTTTAACGTAAAATATAGTCTTGAAATCTGCGTGTGTGGGGGCGAAACGACATATATTATCAAAAAAAGTATTAACGCTTTGACGCAGAATTTCTATTAGAGATATTTTTTTATACCTTCTTCATTATTTTTTTTATTAATTTGGGTAAAAATAAGTGGAAAATATATATTTAGCAATTTAATAATTTATTGCTTATGAAACACAGCAAGAAACACTGTTGTCTTTTTCTGTGTTAAAGGTTAAATCTTTACTTCCAAACAATAACTTTTGAAATATTATTTGAAGTTATTTAGATCCAAGAGAAACAGTTATTTACCATTAAAATTATTATTTATCGTTATTGGCTCGGTTAACAGAAACCTCGGTTAATCGAGGTTCTTTCTCTTTCAAACTTTATTGATTTTTAATCTTCTATCACCCATACCATATACATGCATAAAGACGAAATTACTTACCTACATTCTCTTCCGCTTTCTATATTTAATTTTCGAGATTGAAAGTGCTCGTCTCGAAATAAAATATGACGAGATTCTTAAGTAATTCATTCATTTTATGATAGCTCTGCCGGAAACATAATTATATTACAGGTTATGTATGACACCAATAGCTTTGCTACACACCCTAGCTCAACCTGTGTCACGAGATAATAAACTATGCTCTATAATAAACAACCTTGTTCAATAATAAACAATGCTTTTCATTTACTTTAATTGAATTTACCTTTATTAATAGATAATTGAGAATGCACTAGAGCTCAAACTAGATCGTGTAACAATTCCTTTCTACTTGATAATAAAGTTACATTTTATCTGCTGTGAGTAGAATAGGTTAACCGTAACTGTTAAGGAAAAACTTTAAAAAGCATGTGATGAATTTATTATGTTTTCCTTAAATAAGTTTTTCTTCAAATTTGAAATGATAAAAAAAGCATTTTATTACATGGAAAAGGCTATATAATTAAAGAAATCATAGCTGTAATCAGTGGTTGAAAAAAATACATTGTTTTTGTAGTTTACAACTACATTGTTACAAATGTAGTTAATAACAACGACTTTTTTTAAATGTATTTAACACTAGAAAGATGGAAAATTAGTATGTACCTATATTGCCCAAAAGCAGTCAAAAGGACTGGATTGTGAATGCGTAAATAATTTTTTTTTAAATTAATTTTTAACATTTTTTATATTATTTACAGTTATGTAACAAGTTATTAGTAAATATTAATAATAAAAAAATATATGTTGTGCAAAAAGTCACAAAATTCTAAGAAATTGTGTCATTATAAACATTATTGTTTTCCTAACTGAAATTAAAAGCAGTCAAAATGACTTCCTTAGGCAATCTAGTGTTAACCATAACTTTTTAAATGTAGTGACTACAAATTACTTTAAAATTTTAGTAACTATTACACTACTTTAAGGAGGCGAGATTTACTGGAGAACTTAATTTACACAGTATGTTTAAAATGGTTTTGAATAAGAAATTGGTTTACATTAAACATAAATGAATAATTAAGAAATATTTATTAATGTTTACCATGAGCCAGTTTGTTATTCCAAATATTTTTTCCGAATTTGTTCATTTAACCTTAATCTTTTTATGCTCTTTTTGACAGCGAATATTTAATTTACGAAATGCGAAATTATTAAATACATAATTGCAATTTTTTACTCAAAAAGGTTGTGCACCCCTACTCTAAGAAATTTGTTAAGTAATTGGAAAATACGTTACGTTTCTTTTCAATAATATCAATGCTTCACGAATGTGCATTCAAGTGTAAAAGTGTGACCACAGTGATTAATTATCTATTTTTTGTAATGGCTAATTTAGATATTAGTTATCTGAATCAAATCAAAATAATATTTTTTTAAGTTAATAAATCTTGGGTAATTTCAGAATCTAACTTGGATCAATTTTGAATGTAATGTTTTCATGCGCTTTTTTTCTTCCTTCGTAATGCTTGTTTTTGGAATTAATGCACATTTTTGTATGATTATTAAATTCATTTTAGTGTATTTTTGAGTTTTTTTCTAGTTTTTTTCAAAATATTTTTATGAATTTTATTTTTCTATCTGAAATGCCAATATTCTAGTTATCTGAATTCTAGTTTTTCTATCAAATAATTTTAAACTTTAAATTAATGCGGTTTGTAAAATGAATCATATTGTTACAAATAATTGAAGTTGTACTTTTAGATGACTGATTAAGTATATATTTTGAATCAATTTTGAATGTAATGTTTTCATGCGCTTTTTTTCTTCCTTCGTAATGCTTGTTTTTGGAATTAATGCACATTTTTGTATGATTATTAAATTCATTTTAGTGTATTTTTGAGTTTTTTTCTAGTTTTTTTTAAAATATTTTTATGAATTTTATTTTTCTATCTGAAATGCCAATATTCAAGTTATTTGAATTCTAGTTTTTCTATCAAATAATTTTAAACTTTAAATTAATGCGGTTTGAAAAATGAATCATATTGTTACAAATAATTGAAGTTGTACTTTTAGATGACTGATTCAGTATATATCTTTTCCTTTTTCCTTCAGGTGCTTTTTCCAGTCAATTGTATTTACAACCAACAACCACTGATCATGCCTACTTCACTGGTGATAACTTTTTCATCACATGTTTTACAATAGATGAAACCATCGATAAATTGAAATGGACCGATTTTGATGGCGTTCCCATTGAAAAGGAAGATGGGAGGTAAATCAATTTTAATTTTCTTTTCTTTTTTGAGAATGTGAAGAAGTTCAATAGTTTTGAAATGAATAATTGTTTTCCTATGAGTAATTCATGTTACTAAGGTAACTTGAATTGTATCATAGCGTTATCTATCCATAAGCAAATTATCTTGGCCTTATAATGAATGTATTTTCAAAATTGACTTCTAAATTTCAATTGCAATTTATTTATTTATTTAAAAAAAGTAAAATAAGATATGGCGCTCAAAAATAAATTTCAGAATTTAATGTTGAAATAATTTTTAAAAAAATATTTTGTCTGTCTCTTTCTAATTGTTTTTTTATATCAAGATGACAGTCGCGGTTGCTCAGGGGATAAAACGTTCTCCTTTGGTTCGAATCCCAGTGGTGACTGGTTGAAACGAATTCTGCTTTTTCAATTCAGCGGCTTTTAACGACCCTCTTTTCTGTGTGGCATTTTCTTAAATAAAAAAATTAAAAATCTTGATTTTTGATATTCTTTTAGTTCAGGTAGCAAATTTTAAAAGAAATACGAGCTTGCATTATAATTAACCAACTACAGCAAAGAGGGATATCTTCAAAGAAGAGAGCTAGTCCTTAAAATTCATGGATCGTAAATCAGCTTCCTGGCTCCCACCGATAACAATGCTGTAAAATACCCTCAGTGGAAGACGAATCATGGGTTAAAAACCTCATGCCGTCAGGCTAACCGTAGGAGGTTTTCGTCGTTTTTCTCACCATGTCTCGCAAATGCGGGTTAGTTTAATCAAAAATGTCTCCATGAAGGCTAGTTTGTCCCACTGCTTGATCCTGGAGTTCCCGTGTCTTCTAGATTAGATTCAAAATTGCACGGCTACACGGAAATTATCAAAATTACACGAAAGGGAGATTTTTTTCTTCACTGTGTCGATTTTCGTTGCGTATTATACAAAAGCGTGGTTTTCACGTTTCCACAACTCATTCAAAAACAATCCATTTCGGCGTACCGCAACGTATGATAGCACCCCAATCATGTTACATGTTTGATGAAATACTTGGGAGTCCGCATGTGCGTCTACTGAGCTGGGTTCGGTGAGATTCTTGCACCCTCGTGTGCAACTCTCCTGCATTTTGCAAGATATTCTCAATTTCAGGCTTCATTTTCCATCCTCTGATATCGAACCGAAAAATCTCTCGATCACTTTATAACGGCTAATACAATCAGGAAAAGAATTCTTTGTCGGAAACTAGTTATTTTCTCATGACCATCTAAAGTCTGAAAATTATTTTACATTTTGTTAATGTATATAGTGCTTAAAAAGTACTTTAAAGGTGCTTATTTTTTGTTGAGAGAGTTGGCTACGCATCTGTTATATTTTAAATTTGTCTGTTTTAAAATTGCCCATTAATTATACCTTATAATATTAAAATACTCCTTCCTGTAAGCATAAAACTTTTATTGGTGGAGTATTTAATTAGTTTGGTAGTTTTGAGTAAATAATAGTATTCCGGGAATCCTCAGTTAGTCATGTGTAAAATTTTTAGAAAAATGAGATATTTCTTTATCATTACATTATGCTGTTTTATAAGAATATTTTCGTAAAAAAAAATCATATGAAAATTACATGAATGAAAAAGATATACGACATTTGTATTACGCACACATGACTACGCACATATGTCTTGAATGTCATTTTTCATAATCTCGGTATCGATAACTTATTTATTTTTATCTGATCTGACCCGAGCATTTATTTTACTAATGTAATTTATGCAAGAGATATATAGCTTTAAATCTTTTATAGCTTTGAAGTAAATAAAAGATAAACTATGACTTTTCTGGGATTTTTCTTATGTTAAAAATATTTTTTGATTTGAACGAATAAAACTTGAAATTTATCGAGTCCACTGATAGCAATAGTCTTCAATAAACATTTATTTTCACTCAAATTCTTTTTTTTAAATTTTAAATACAATTAAAACTTATAAATAAATATATTTTCATTAATCATACGATCAAAAAGTTTTTTCGGAAAACAACTTAGCTTTTTTAGACATGCACCTAGATGTCCCGTCTTAATTTTTTTTAAAATTTTTTTTTATTGTTTTGCTTAAAAATGAGAGGCTGAAAAATTTTATAATAAAGCCATATATTGTTTATCCCATTCCAATTGTTTCTTTAATTATAATAAGTTCCAGCAAAATTCTCCCTTTTTTTCTTCCTTTTATACAACCCAATGAAAAATATGTTTGCTTCATATCAACGCTTCCTTCTTAATTGCCATTTTCACGTTCTCCGAGTTATTTGTTCACAAAAACACAAAAATCCACCTGATTTCACGAAACATTCTTTCCTTCCTCGCACACGCTCTTCCCCTCTCCGTTACCTTATCAACAGAGTAGGAAGCTGAAGAGCGAAAATGGGCATCACCCTCCAAACATCCCTTCCCAGCAAGCATCACAATCATGAGCTCATCCGATGGTTTCCGTGGCAACGAGTCAAGAGAGAGAAATGGTTGTCATTGCATCAAACGAACCGGAGACCTGTTCTTCGACCATTACTAGCAAATTTATGGCGTCAATTCAACCCCCCTCTGTTTCAGATATATTATCAACGCCCTCCCCCCCCCTTTACTTCCTTTTGGTGGTTAGGTACACCTGCTGAAAATTAAATTGCTTGAGAAGGTGTGTAATTGAAAATGTGTTTCAGTAATCATTTAGGTAGTTCAGTTTTGCAGGAAGAGGTCGTTCGGATTTTTTCTGCGCTGTTGCGCTCACAGTTGCACTAGCTTGGGAGAATGTTATCGAGCTAGCTTAGCATGCAATATCCAGGCTTCCGGAATCATATTAGGTTTAATTTTATTTGTTGAAAGTTTTTGTTTTGAAAAGTTGTTCTGGAAATGGGAAGTAGTGGTATGATATAATTAGAGAAGTTTTCATGCGTGGTATAAGTGCTGGGAGTTGAAACTTGATTGGGAAAAATTAACCTTTAGATGACGTGCGTCACATGATCAATTATCTTAAGCTAATGCTTACTGACTAATGTACGAATTACTGTACGAATCTCCGAATGTTGTGGATTAGTTTTGATACCATTGTTAGCATTTGATATGATGATTTGAAAAACTTGGAATGTTTGTTGATGTGTAAATTCTTTGGATTTATTTTCCCAGTTTCTTAGTTTCTTCGGAATTCGATTTTTATAGGATTTTTTAATTTAACGATATAAAAACTTGGAATTTGGACTATCGGTTTATGCGATACATTATCTATTGTATACCTTTTTTTCTGTTATTATATTAAAAATAATATTTTAATGAAAGCAAAAATGCGCTTTACGATATTTTTAGTTTTGTTTGAGATTCGTGGAGAATATGCAATTGTGTTAAATCTCTTAAGTTAAGCTTTTTTTTTATTATTAATTTATTTTTATCTATTTATTTATTTTTCTTGAAATTACAAACTGTAAGAAACAAAATAAAAAGAACACAACAAAACGATATAACAAATACTTGTTATAAGCAAACTTATTTAAAAAAAAAAATTACAATTTAATGTTACAATATATCCCTGTCTGTATGTTGAGCCAAATTTGAAAAATCTTTACATGTCTAATATTAATATTGCAATATGATTGATAGTAAATTCCAAACACAATATACCAATTACAATGACAAAAAAAGAAAAGAAAAAGTAACACCGATACGCTTTTCATTGAGGTATTTATTAAAATAAATACGTTATTTTTGTCGGACTCTTTTTATCAAACTTATATTCATATTTTTTTGCTATTTATTTTTCATTTATTTATTTATTTTACAAATTATGTAAATGTTTCCATCCGGAATTTTTGTTAACTTAATTTTTGCCATCTTCTCAAAAACGTTTAGTTAGACAACTTGGTTAAGAAATGTTGTTAAAAATAGTCTTTCTCCCTCTCCCCATCTGCAGTTGGAATAAAAATTTCATCACCTCTTCAACATCGTTTATTACGTTAGTCTAACATAAACTACTAACATCATTCATTGTATTTTTTACCTCCATGAAACTTGGCTTTGTGCCAAAATTCTGCAGTTAGTTAATGGTGCTAGAAGGAACGTAATTTTATTTATTTTTATTGTAAACTATTTTACCTCTAAATAAACTCAATTGACTTTCTCCCCTTTTCTATGTGACTTTTCTTGATAATGTTATTGAAAAGAATTATTTTAATCGTTTGAATTATTGTTACGTTTGAAACGTATGTAAATACGCGATATAATATGCTTTGTCCTACATTTATCAATTGTTAGGTTTCTAATAACGTTACTTTTATAATTTTGGCTGTAATTACATTATTAGTAAGATATTTCTTATGAATTATCTTATAAGAAACGTCGACAAACTTGTCAATAAGAGATATTTCCGCGAGTTTCTAATGGATTCGATAAAATAAAAAAAAAAAAAGGTTTTGATTATTAAGAAGAAAAAACCTTAAAATAAGTATTGATGAGCTTCTTAATTGGTGAAAATAAGATTAGTTTACCTCAAAAAAATCGGTAGGATTAACTTTAATTATCAAGAAGAATTTAGTAGAATAAGATTTGATTGCAATATAGAATTCGGCTAGATTTAATTTCATCATTAAATAGAACTCGGTAAAATTAATTTTTTAGCACAAAGTGTAAGGATAAGTGAGATTTATTAAATAAAATTCAGTAAAAGAAAGTTTTTATTATATAATCCATTTGTTGGAATTTTCTTTTTAAACTGCTAATTAAGAAAAATATGAATTAAAGTAACAAATAATCATAAATATACGTTGATAATCTAAAATAGAAAAACCAATTTTTCTTATCAAAATAAATTTTTTAAAAATTTGTTTAACGAAAAAAAAAGTAATTATTTTCCCCGTGGCAGAATAGCTGCGACACGACGACATTGTAGCAGAACGTTACAGAGTTCTTGCGGAAAGATTATTTTTCTTTTAAAAAGTTAAAAAAAAAAAGTCATTTTTCTTTTCTACAGAAATTTGCACGTAAT